TGGGTTTGTCAAGAGGAAATCATAAGACAGATCCTTAGACACACAAACGCACTACGTACACATATCGAGTCATTTCCTAAAACTGTAAAGCAGACATCTTGCTTTATTTTATCTCTCTAACTCTGTATTTTATGCCCAAATCAGATATAATGGCGGCTGTGGCTCAGGTGGTAGTCGGTCAATGATCAGAAGGTCGGCGGTTCGATTCCGCCCTGTAACCTGTGTCATGGTCGTTGTGTCCTTGGGCAAGACACTTCACCACCTTACCTGGTGTGAATGCCTCTGAATGGATTGTTTGAGGTGGTGGTCGGAGGGGCAGAATGGCAGCCACGCCTCTGTCAGTCTACCCCAGGGCAGCTGTGGCTACAACCGTAGCTACCACCACCGGGATGAATGTGTGTGAATGAATAGACAGTGTAAAGCGTCTTTGAATGTCTAGAAAATCGCTTTATAAATCTGATCAATTATAATCTGACTATGATAAAAATGTGTGGTAAGAGGCAACTGATTATTGATCCAGCTGATTATTGGATGCAATAATATGTGAATTATTTTAATGTGGACTTTTTTCAGAGTGGGCTGTTAGTGTCTTATCCCAGACTTACTAATTAAATAATCCTGAAGAGACGCTCTCTCATCTTGCCTGTACTACTGTGTACGTACAGCAAAATGACAATAAACTTGATTTGATTTGATTTAAAATCTGCAGATTACATGAAAAAACGTCCACTTGTGTTTCTGATACAGCCGCCTCTCTCTGAACAGTTACTCCACCCACGTGCATCACATTCGTTATACGTTGTACAAGTGAAGAGCCGATCAGCTCTGCACTCAGTGGGGTTTTTTTATTTTATTTTAAAGTTACTTAAGCTGCCATCAACATGTCCTGGTCATCATGTGCTTTAGTGATGGCATTAGAATCTGAGTGTTGCTCAACTCCAGCAGTCTCAGACTCTACCCCAGAAAAGCTCAGGAGATCGGATGTATGCATCACATCAGTGGGACTCGGCGTCGTTCCATTTGCTAAATCAACCACTTAGCGCCTCGTCTTTGGTCTTTTCTCATGTAGAGCCGTTTGAAAAATACTTCTAAGAAAGTACAAACGTCACCACGTCTCTCGTCCAAAAGTAAGTTTTTGAGGGCGGCGTCCTCTTCGCTTCGTTCTGGCGCACCGAGCCGCTCATCACTGCCCCGTGTTGCTGGAGGGCGGCAGGACGCCCACCAGTCCTTGACAGAACTCCAGTGGCCCTAAAGAGCAGAAATGAGCCAGCGTCATTCTGGAAAAACAAACTTGGACACGAGGCATAAAGTTGAGATTTTGCTTCATCAGAAGTTTTTTTTTTTTCATTAAACTGCATTTTTCAGTTTTACATGAGAAAAGACTAAATGGTTGATTTGTAAATCAAATTATATTAAATATTATTACTAATAATCATGATCGGTCCAGAAAAACCCGTACTGGTTGACCCTCTAGTGTGTCCTCTAGTGTGTGTGTCTCTCTTTCTTTATAGCATCTACTCAGCTTTTCAACTGACATTCATTTTCATCTCGTCTCCTTCCTGCTCCGTGTAAGAACTAATGATCAGCAAGTACTGAAGCATGTTTGATCATCTACCCTGCAAACAACATATTTCGCTCTACAAATACGACAAACGAGGCACGACCTCTTTACACCGAGTGTTTTGAACTCATTATCCATTTTTTGTCATTTAGTTTGTCGTCAGTTAAACTCATGATTGAGTCTGTTTCACCTGATAACGTGCATCAGCAGTCGCTCCTGTCGTTTAATTGTCTTTGTGTACAGTTTTTGGCACAACANCATTAGGGTCATGGGGGGCTGGAGTCTATCCCAGCTGACTCAGGGTGAAGGCAGGAGACACCCTGGACAGGTCACCAGTCTATCACAGGGCTACACTAAGACACAGACAACCAAGCACACTCACATTCACACCTACGGACAATTTAGAATCACCAATTAACCTCAGCATGTTTCTGGACTTGTGGAAGGAAGCCGGAGAACCCGGAGAGAATCCACACTGCACGGGGAGAACATGCAAACTCCACGCAGAAGGATCCCGGTGTCCTCACTGGGATGCGAACTGACGACCTTCTAGCTGCGAGGCAACGGTGTTAACCACCGCCCCACCTTGCAGCCCTGAAGCAAACTAAATGATAATAAATTGCACATGGAAAACAAGCAAAACAAAAAACAAATACAGTGACCACAGAAAGCTAAACGGCAGCAAGCAATGGAAACATCACATTTTGTCATCTTTCAATAAGTTTCATATTTTGTTGGTTTCACTTACCAAAACATCAAAACGTCAAATCAACATTTATTATCGGGTTCCACTGATTTCATTACAAGATTAATATCAACTCGAAGGGACATTTTGCTTTTTGCTGAAGTGATGTTGTCTTGGGAAATAGGCCAGTGTATATTAAAGAAGCTGTTTAAAGCCTTTGTGGCTCCATTAAGAGCTGCAGGAAGTGTGATGAACTAACCTCAAGTAGAGCCACTTAATCCAGTCTGTTCTGTGCTGCATCTGCCTGACGAACAAGAATGCATGGATTGCATAATATTTTTAAATATGCACACGAGTCTTGTATCCTGGGAGTGCACTGATAATGCATTAATGACGACGAGTGGACAAACAAACACGATTTTCAATGCAAGTAAAAATGTCAATATTTTTACGACTTCCATATTTGCTTTAAAATGCCGTTTGTGGATGCAAATCTGTTCACCAACTAATTCTTACAAGTCGCAGATGCCTGGAGTCAAGCGCCATCTGAACACACCATAACAGCAGATTTTCATCACCACGCAGTGAAGACTTTATTTTTAATTACTCGACTTGTTCACTTGGAGAAATAAACTATCTCAAACGAAGTATTTCCGAGGACATGCTGGTTCATGGTGAAAACTACGACGAATGGATTTGCTGTAGAGCGTTGCAACAACACTAGTGTGCTGGCAGCAATGTGGAATATATATTATTTATAGTAATTGATCAGAAACCAGGAGAAACACTGCCATGGCGAGGATATCTATAATCAGTTTGGCTATGATCGTCGCTCCAGCACGGTTTTTAAAGACCGTTTTTGATGTTTTTCAAGGTGAAGAGTTCAGTGCACTTGTGCAGGTTCGTGTGGGAGCATATGGGAGGCTGGTGTTTAATAGAGACTAATCCAGCAGGGAGCTACAAGGCTGCAAAAAGTCTGCTTAGCGGGATGACATCTCTATTTCCTGGTGCGTTCGAGTGTCATCCCACACTTCTCATCCCATTTCATTTCGTTCCTCCCCGTCTCGTCTCGGAGCAACGTAAACAAAACAACTGCTCAGATCCTCCGCCATCTGCCCTGTCAGCCTCCCCGCTGGTAACACATTACTCACCTGAATAATGCATGATGGGAAACAGGAAGTGGAGGTGTCAGCGATTACACCGTCGTCATCCCAAATGAGATGGCGTGACCTTACTTTGTCTTCCGGCTCTGTGTTTTCCTCCACACTCCCTGTTTTGTTTTGCTTTCCATTCCGACATCCCGTCTTTTCCGTTCTCTCGTCTTCTGATTAACCTGTCCTTACTTACAAAATCCAGCCGTCTAGTTGTTATACCTTCCTGCTAACCCTCCATCGTTTCTCATTCCGTCTCCATCATTTTCCTCCCTGCATCCTCCACAGGACATGTTCTGATTGCAGACATGTCCCAGCATACAGCTGTTTCCAGAGGGATTATCACCACGCGCTGGTTTCGCTCGACGTGTCCAGTCACGCATAAATTGAAACAAACACTGCTGAGAAATGAAACCCTACGAAGGCAACATCTGAAAATAGTTAAATCACTTGAGATATTAAATCGGATGCAAACAAGTCGCTGGTTTTTGGTCGTGAAATTAGTTTTTTTTTTTTTTTTTTTTTACACCCGTATCATCAGAGGACATCTTTTTCCCTGAAGTTATTAGACGTTGAACAGCTCAACAGTGCATTTCAAAGTCCCGTTTTATTGAAGGTTTTGTTTTGGTGTTCAGCTGCTGATGTACATCGAGACTCAAACACATCCCTTGAACAAAAAAGAAACATCATTTTTGACATCCCTGAATTCTCCACCGTTGAATAATCTCTGTTGTTTTTCTTTTCTTTATATATGTGTGTGTCTAGATAGTATAAGTGTGCATATACAGTCATGACTCGATAATCGGCGCTTAACAATCCGAAAACCTTGCTGTCCGACAGGTGTTCAGGAAAAACGAACGGCAACCATAGAAAATAGCCTTAACATACTGACAGCCTTGGATTCTGACTCCGACATGACGTTTTATGTCACAAATAAGGATAACAGTGTATTTTCTGACTGAACAATCCAACACATTGGCGACGTTCAGACTGCAGGACTTGATGCTCAATCCGATTTTTTTGTGAGTTTGTTCACATTTCCAATTAAATACAACTTGTATGTGATCTGCTGTGTGAACTTCATACGACCCAAAAGTGTCCCGCATGCATAGAAGAGGACACAACGACGTCACACACAGCGAGCGTGCTCAGAACTGTGACCGCTATCCTAAAGTGGCATCAGCAGCCAAATACTGCCTGTACGTTCCGGTCACTTCCACCCCGGATTTGCGCTCTGACAGTGGTTGGAATGTACACAAGCGCTCCGGTCAAGTAGGCATGAAATCCAGCGATGTGTAGTGTTCTAACAATACACTAGTTATTATAACAACTATAAACAATAAATATCAACAACAAATGAGCCTTCCAGCATCAAGCCCTCCTTGTATCTCGACCTCCGTCTTGACAATCCGACAGCCTTGATATCCGACATAAAAGAAGGTTTTACATTTAGTGTCGGATTATCGAGTCATGACTGTACATCGATAAATAACTGAGAATACCAGGGTTGGTTTAATAACTGTCCTACCTCTCTCACACACACACACACAAACACACAAACACTGACTGTCTGCTCACTTCTTTCCACCTTTTTGCCCCGCAGGCCGCTGTGTGTGACGCTGGTGTTCAGCACCAAGGGTCAGAGGTATCTGCGGGTGGGTCTGGCTGTACCGCTGTTTGGTTCCCTGTCCTGCCTGAGAGCGATGGTAGCAGCGGAGGGCAACATCTCCCCAGACCAGGTACGTATACACAGAGCTACAACGGTAGCTGCTCACATTTATGTTTGTCTCTGTGCTAAATAACTGACAGCTGAAGCCACTAAAACATGCAAGTAGTTCAATCTCACCCACACCAATAAGATGATTTGAACCACAACTAGAAGTAGACAGAACTTAGAAATGATTTTTCTGCAGGTAAAAAGACTGATGAAATCACACAATCATATAAAAAAGAAAAAGTTTAATTTCTTTGATTGTTTTTTGTTTTTTTTTTTAATTGAAAAAAAAAAAAGGGTATCATCAGGTACATGTTTTCCCACAGATGTTACCAAAACTTAAAAAAAAAATGGTGGCTCCAAATACTACAACTATCTGACAACTTACATTTTTAATGTCTGTACTTCTCCCGTATTTAACGTAAAGTCCAAGAATTTTTTTCAAACGACTTTTTCCTCGCGTCTGAGTCACTTGTAGCTTTTTGGTTGTGCTAGAAATTGTTTTTTTTTTTGGTGAAATTCTATTTGAGGCATGAAGAATAAAAAGATTTTTAAAGAAATATCACAATTTTAAACTTGGATTTGTTTCAGTTCCCAACTCAATAGAAATGAGTAGTTGAAGGACTGTGGGAAAGGTTTGAATCGATGATTGTCTGACAGTTTCCTGCAATAAATGGTGTCATTTTAGCTGTATTGTAAAGATATCAAGACTTTCAAGTCTGCTGGCAGGTTCTGGTGTTCAGAAGTGCATCTACGGTTGGAGTTAGTTTGAT